CTAGGTAACAAGCTTGATCACCACGATCCATTCTAGAAGCACAAGATTAACAAGCAAACAGCGGGACTGAACTCGATTCAAGTTCTCATAATGTCATGAGCAACTCGCTCTATACAGGTTTTAATAATCGAAATGAAAACACTTACTTGGCACGTCACTGCCTTTAACGGGGTCTCTATTATGTTCTGTTATGTTCCAAATATTTAGTTGATGATCTATTCTTCTCCGTCTGTGTAGACTCATCAGAAAGGAGACACGAGCATGTTTCCTAAATCGCAAGGAATCTTCAATCCGTACACATTTTTATTGTTATGCTGAAAGAATAATAGATTTCATATTGCTCAGCAATAGCTTAGAGGTATAACAGGAAGACCTTCACCTATAATAAAAAAAATTTTGAAAAAGGGAAACAGCTTTCATTGAGCTCTATCGGAACATACACAACATGGAAAGAAGTACATGGAACGGCACAAGACTAACTGAGGAAGACAAACTTCCCACTATATCACCGAGACTCCTGATAAGCTTCCATCTCACATGGCTACAACAACTCAGCATTCAAATGATTCAATCAGGAAAGGAAGTGGGAAACAAATCAGAAAATTATACTAAATACTTCTGATGAAATTATTTGAACTGAAAGTCGTCTTCTCCGTCTTCGCATAGACTACTCAGAAAAGAGATTCGGAACAAAAAAGTCCTAGCAGAGTTATTCTTTGTTATTTCAAGTCCTCAAAAAGAAACAGATATGCTCCACTTCTCTTCGTTCAAGATGAGAAACAGCAGCTTCTTGCACTGTTTCTGATCTTTTCAAAAGAGTAGATGAGCATTTACATGCTCCTGTTTGAAAGACAGTTGGCTGAAACTGACAACGCAAACCGGGAATATTTCTGGATGCAAGAATGTGATATACAACAAGTCATAAAGGACATACTAATATCATTTCGCAAGAACCATAAAGTATGGACATAAGGTCAGCTTCCTAACTGTATACTACACATGCATGAAGGCATCTGAAACAAAGTAAAACAGGATGAAAGCTAAATCATATAAAACCACTGAAAGATGATATGATGATCAATTTATTCGAACAGCTTGTACGTAATTAGGCGTGAGCAAAGAGGTATTCTGCTTCTCTAATATTCTATAACACTCTCTCTGTTCTCTATACTGTCTAAGCATGTATGCTTTAACTTCTTCAATACTTCTCATATCTACATGCATTGATAAGTAATAATGGAGCTCCATACTCTTTTGGAGGACACAGATCTCAAACTGATCAAAAAAACCTGAAAAATAAACAATTTCATCGAACTAGGCCTAAGATCTACCTGTTTCCCGAAAGAGAACGACCGGGTCGATTTTTATTTTACGTGGCTCGTAGTTCACGTGTTTTCGCAATGGTATATAAGTCCTCAAACACCTAAAATGACTCAGTTGGTCTTCGAACTCCACTCCTCTCTTCCAGGAGATTTTCCTAAGAGGAATCAAGGTCTTTGGCTCTTGATCCATTGACTTTCAATCCCCTTATAAAAATAGAGCAGACGACAATCCTTCACAAGTCTCAGAACGGTTGCATTCTTCTTTCAGACGTTCAGAAAGGTTGCATTCTCTTCCATCGACGTTCCAGGCAGTGAGTAAACGTACAACTTTACAAAAAGCTGAGCTGCACTCAACTTCTCTTAGTTTGAGGTCAGGAACAGTAGCTCCTTGTACCGTTCCTGATCAAATCGTTAGAGAAGGTGAGCAAAATGTCTGTTTGCGACGGAAGATAGGTGTGACTGACCGAGAAAACAGACCGGGCAACTTCTGGAACATAATATGTGATGAAAAACCAAGTAATTAGAAACTCACAACGTGTCGTTCGCTGATATATAACAATCGGAGGAGTATGTATCCTAATCAACCCATCGAAATTAGGGACCATGATCAGACTTCCAGCTGTAGAGGCTATATGGCTGCAGATGTCTGAAATGAAACAATTCAGCAACGTTATGGAGCATTAGGTTTATCTACTACTGCATAGCACTTCCTTCTTAACAATACCTTTGGCAGGCAGTGCAGTTCTTTGTTCTTCAGCCTGGTCGCATGTGATATCGTTGTCTGAGAAGTAATTGATGGTTGAGGCTTCTCTGAGATCTACCCGTTCTTTGACTAGGAGATCCTTTAAGATTATAAGATAGCTTCTACTCCTTTCTCTTTGAATACAGCCAGAAGAGAACACACAATCGATATTTATGAGTAAGAAACAACTACGCTGATCAGAACAATTGTAAGAATATATCTCAGTACAGCTCATTGGCGCTCCCTCAGAAGACTCAAAGATTCTCAAAGACTACATCGTCATGCTGATTGTCTGATCACGAGTGAGTGATGTCACCTTCTGTGCTGAAACAGTAGAAGAGTTCAGTCTTGTACCAACTTGTCAGTGAATCTACTCAGAGGGAGCAAACTGGAACTCACCTCTCCTGAAGATGGAATGAATCCTATTCCTGTAATCTGTGTTGGACATCAACACG